ATTTACTGTTCTATGTTTAGGAAAAATATGTCAACTAAAACACAGCCAAGACAAGTTACTTTGTAAAGACTAAAGGTCAGTTTTATATTATTGGATTCGGTAAAATGAGTGCATGTCATTGTAACTTCTGTATTGTTAGCCAGGCATGGCTGAAAGGTCAATATAATAAAAATAATAAATATATAATGTTATGAGATTTAAGCTATTTAATCTAAACATTTATGTTTTCATGTTATAATTTGTGTTCATTCTAGAATGAAAGAGGCATAATTTATATTTATTTCCCAATTTTTTATGGTGGTTGCAAGATCGGTCAAATCTACCAAACCCGTACAGAGATTAATCACTGAAAATAACAGATAAAATATACTTTTTTTCTTAAAAAATGTTTGATAACTATCTGGACATTATAAAGATTTTGCATGTGAAAGTTGAAAATTTTCTGATGCATAAAAGTATTTTTAATCTTAAAATGAAAATTACTTTGCATGTAAGATAGGCAACATGCAAAAAGAAAAGAAAAACATTGCTTTATAAACCTTAAGACTTAATAAAAACATTTGATATTTTGCAGATAAAAGCATTGTAATGTTTACTGATAATGTGCCAAATTTTGTTAACATTCGCTTACTAATTTGAAAGTTATAGCAGGAAAATTATAACAAGCACAAAATAGTTACGAGGTCGATCCCAGGAACCGAGCCAGTGCCGAAAGAGTTAAACACTTCTACTCATTTTCTAATGTTACTACTGCTGACTATATCCAAAGGAGGTTCTTCATGCCACATGTAAGAATGTAAAATTGTCTTTGATAGTATTGTTCACAGCACTGATTGTTGACAGAAATATGAAAAGTACATTACTAGACGTACTTATGCAGGGTCACCGAAAGTGTTCTGTTTCAAGAGTAAATAAAACCAACATTAAGAGTAACAAATATTTTTATTTCTTGCTTTTGAAGTTCACATGTCATGCTAAATACTGCCTACAGAGTGCATGATTATTCTTGTGATTCATAACATACATACGTATTATGACGTCACGACAGTACAAACTGCAACATTAAGCATCTGTTATGTGACATCATTTTAGTGTCTACTGACTGAGTGACAGACAACACACTACTATATGGTGGTGTGAATTGTTAAAACAGGGGAACACTCCAGGCAGCCCTCTTTCAGGTAAATTACCAACATCATAAACAAATTTTCTTATCAGTCAATTTAACAGCAAGGTAAGAAATACTTTGTTTTACCTTCTTGAACATTAAAACATGGTCAAAAATGTATGCATCCTCCATTCCACAAATTTTATTATGATCTATAGCTGGTATGTATGAAAGGAATGATGCACGTACTAGCAGAAAATTTTAAAACACCTTTGTAAAGGATTGCCTGTCACATTAAGTTGCTTTCAACTTACGGTGTAATCAACGTTAAGTTGCTTTCAACTTACGGTGTAATCAACGTTAAGTTGCTTTCAACTTACGGTGTAATCAACGTTAAGTTGCTTTCAACTTACGGTGTAATCAACGTTAAGTTGCTTTCAACTTACGGTGTAATCAACGTTAAGTTGTTTCCAACTTACGGTGTAATTAACGTTAAGTTGATTTCCAACTTATGGTGTAATTAACGTTAAGTTGTTTCCAACTTAGGGTGTAATTAACGTTAAGTTGTTTCCAACTTATGGTGTAATTAACGTTAAGTTGTTTCCAACTTACGGTGTAATTAACATTAAGTTGTTTCCAACTTACAGTGTAATTAACATTACGTTGTTTCCAACTTACAGTGTAATTAACATTAAGTTGATTTCCCAACTTACAGTGTAATTAACATTAAGTTGTTTCCAACTTACAGTGTAATTAACATTAAGTTGTTTCCAACTTACAGTGTAATTAACATTAAGTTGTTTCCAACTTACAGTGTAATTAACATTAAGTTGCTTTCAACTTTCGATGTAATTAACATTAAATTGCTTTCAACTTTCGGTGTAATTAACATTAAGTTGCTTTCAACTTTCGGTGTAATTAACATTCAGTTGCTTATGTTTTTAACCGTGGCATAGCAGCTTATAGAACGGCTCTGAATATTTCAAGTACAAACTTTTAGCTCATAACTCCATCATCTCTTCACCAATTTGAGATCTAATTACAGTTCTGGCCTCAGGAGATCAAACCCTTTTGAATAATGCATTTGACCACATCCAAGGTTTCATAGATTAATTTACTCTAATTCTGCCTAAAAGAATTTCAGTTGAGGATTCCCTCTTGTTTCTTATTTACACTGATGACATTCTTAGAGGAAATAATTAGTAAAGTTTGCTGATGGCATTAAACTCTTGTGTATTGCAAGCTATACTGAAGATATTGAGTATTAAAGAATGTATTAATAACCTGGTAATTTGACATATGTCAAAGTCATTTAAGTTGGTTTTAAATTCCATTTCAGCTGCCTATAATTTAGGTAAAAAGTGTTTGACTTGGTGTAAAACTGTTATAAATGATAATGTATTTGGATTATCATAACTTAGATCTTACGTTTATTATATGTGAGAACCCATGCAATATTACGACTTTAGAAACAGATCTTGGCATAGTGGTGGATAAGTCACTCAAGCCATTGAGGTAATGCTCTGTTGCCAGTAGTAAAACTAATACAATTTTATGGTGTGTGTGTATATATATATATATATATATATATATATATATATA